AATTCATGGATAGGAAGACTGAATATTGTGAAAATGTCAATACTACCCAAAGCAATCTGCACACTTAATGCATGTGGGCATGTCTCTCTGTCATGGCATCTCTGCCAAGGAGGTCCAATAGAGATGTCAGGTCCAAGGAGATGTTGAGTCCTCTAGCTCTTCTCTCTTGATGGCAGTGAGATCTCCTCTCTGCCTCTAGGAGAGCTCATTTTAAGCCTGGCAGAGTGACAAAACTAATGAATCCCAGCATTAGAGTTCTACACCTTATTTGCATGGGCCCAGCCAGTAATCTGGTGGGAGTTATGAAGACTATGGCTAGAAAAGCTATACCAACTAATCCATTGTGCCACAACGGGTTCTTTCCCAAAGCATTGTCTAGAGACTAGAAGACAGACTAAAGTGTTTCATTTAGATCAGCTTTATACAACCTCAAGGAGCCACCAAAGCCAAGGAAACACCCTCTGCCCTGGGCAAGGCTGCAGTGAGCAATGTCTCCAAGTGTCTTTGCCAGCTCTGGACAATGCTGGGTGCCAGGTGCTCATAAGGGTCTATGCTGAATTAAAGGTGCCTAGAAAAGGTCTGTACACATTCCACTCCTGGGATGAGGTCATATAGAAAAGAAGTTAAAAGCAAGGTTCTGTACCTAAATTTTCAAAAAGTAAATGCTCAATATGGAAACCAAATAGAAAAGTATAGCTGTCTAATGCAACATTGCACAAAGTTATTTAAAATGAAATAAGTAAATGTTAAGTCTAATTCCTCAGTCAGCAATGTGTCTAGAGCTATATGAAAAAGTTATATGAAATACAGAAAAAATGAAATTTATTTAATTAGAAAAGATGTCACTCTCATAAGTTATATGAGCAATATACGTCAAATCGTGTTTGATCCTTGTTCATGGGTAGTCATTTAGAGCTGTGTCACTAGCCATAGGTGGCTACTAAAAGTTAATTAAAATTTAAAATTTACTTCCTTAGCCACAAGAGCCCTATTTCAAATTCTTAATAGCCACCTGTGGTGAGCTGCTCTACACAGAGTAGTGCAGCTCTCCAGCATTTACATCACCACTGATAGTTCTATTGGACCACGATCTAGACTGTTTGAAACTCCGTATACTTTTTTTTAATTATCTTTTTTTTTAAACTGTGATTTGGGTGAATGTTTACAAAACAAATTCACTTTCCATACACAGCTCATATACACCTGAAGGGCAGCTAGAGGCCATAGCCTCAGTGGTTCCATCAGGCTCTCTATCTGACCAGCAAACCTGGTCCTTTCCCCCCCCCCCCAATTTTGAGTTTTGTTCCACATTATTCTCTCACTCTATCTAGGGTCTCCTACACAGATCCCCCCTCCAAGTGGTTGACAGCGTAGCTGGACACCCTCTAGTTCTTCTGGTCTTATAGTTGTATAGGCTGAGGATTGCATGGTGTACCAGTTGCTTGGACTAATTATTTCCATGCATCTTTGGTTTTCTTCATTCTTCTTTGTTCTGGACGAGGAGAGACACATCACTGCACCTAGATGGCCACTTGCAAGCTTTGAAGATCTAGTCGCTACTCACCAATGTTGGATGTGGAATAATGTTTTGTGTAGTATGCTATGTCAATTGAGCTTGATGTCCTCTGCAACTATGGTCCTGAGCCCACAGGTCCAAATACTCGCTCCCTCTGGGTAGCTGGCTGTGGCCAAGAAGTGACTACAACATATCAATGGACTTGTAGGAACATTGTCTGCCAACCCTATACATGGTCTTGGGCACACTACCCCGGCACAGATATACCTAATAGTTCAGCCTGTCCACCCATCTATCCACCTGTCTATCCATGTTTGCCTTCACTGACAATGCAGTACTATATGTGCAAGTGGGTTCATCTTTGTTGTCTGTACCTTCCATGGACCTCTCTATGTCTTCCTCTTCTTGAATGCATTGTGCATTTGGTACATTGCCCTTCTCTTCACCCAAATTCAATACCTGTCTCTACCTGTCTAACAGTGTTCCCTTCCCTCCCTCTCCTAAGCAATGAAGAACATTTTCTTCCATATATAAACCTTTCCTTGACTTTTTACAATAACGGACTAATACAATATTTATTCTTCTGTGATTGACTTATTTCATTCAGCAGAATGTCTTCCAAGTTCATCCACGTTATGCAGTGTGAAGCTCTGTATACTTCTTTCACATAAAGTGCTATCCATTGGCAGAGGATACATAATTAACATACCAAGTATTTCTGCTTGCTCCTTCTGAATGGCATCCCAAGGCAAATAATAATAATAATAAACCAAACCCATTGCAGTCACGTCAATTCTGACTATAGTGACCCTAAGCATAGAGTAGAGCTGCCCTACAGGGTTTTCAAGATTGTAAATCTTTACAGAAGCAGACAGCCAATATCTTTCACCTGTGGAGCAGCTGGTGGGTTGAACTGCAGACCTTTTGGTTAGCAGCTGAGCACTTAACCACTGCATCACCAGGGCTCCCTTACATAAAAATGCCAAAAAAAACCCCCCCAAAAAACCCAAAAAACTGAAACGGATTCACAATGCTTCTATGGAACAGAGTAGAACAGCTCCATATAGTTTTGAAGGCTATAATCTGTAGGGAACTAGACTGCTACATCTTTTTCTTGTGAAGTGGTTGGTGGGTTTCAACCACTGACCTTTCAGTTAGGAGCTGAGTACTTTAACTACTGTACCAACAGGACTCCTCACATAAGAATAAACCAAGAGAAAACAATAAAACCCACACCCATGCCACTGAGTCGATTCTGACTTATAGTGACCCACATAGGGTTTCTAAGGCTGTAAATCTTTATGGAAATAGATTGCTTCATTGTCCTCCTACAGAGCAGTTGGTGGGTTTGAATCACTGACCTTCTGATTAATAGTCAAATGCCTTACTCACTGTGCCACCAGAGCTCCTAAGAATAAACCCACCCAAAACCACTGCCATCAAGTCAGTTCCTACTCATAGCAGAACAGAACTATAGGACAGAATAGAACTAACTGCCCCATAGGGTTTCCAAGGTTACAGATCTTTATGGAAGCCGACTGCCTCTTCTTTCTCCCACAGAACAGCTGACAGGTTTGAACTGCTGAACTTTCGGTTAGCAGCTAAATGCTTAACTACTGCACTATCAGAGCTCTTTTCACACAAGAGTAGAAAATGTTAATTCTTGTTTTCTTGTCAAGAGTAGGTTTAAAAACAACTGATTTGATTAAATGGCACTTATACTTTTTAAATTTCTGTCCTATTACTGCTTTGAGGGTAATTTAGTATCTCAAGAAAGATAACCTTCAAAAGGCTACGCCAAGGCTGTTACATAAATGCCCTTTATTGGAAGTAATACAAGACAATCTTCACACTTAAAAATCTCTGAAAAACATTTTGGCAGTTTTTTTTTTTTTTTTTTTTCCTTTTCCTTTCAGCCTAGGAAACACCATGTGGCAGTTCCATTCTGTCACATGGGGTCATTATGAGTTGGAATCGACCTGATGGCTCATAACAACAAACAATAATTCTGGAATGGGAAAATGGCCCACATTCTAAATATGTCTGTTTGCTTTTCCACAGTATCATTTAAATTGTTCCTCTTTTTTCTATATACCATTTTGGTAGTTTCGTATAAAACTAAATGTGCAATTAATATATGACTACACAGTTGTACTCTTAGGCATTTATTCCAGAGATATGTTCACACAAAAACCTGTACACAAACACATATTACAGCTTTATTTGTAATAGCCAAAAATTGGGAACAACTCAGATGTCTTTCAGTGAATGAAAGTTTAGAAAACCATGATACATCCATGCTATGGAATACTGTTTAGCATAAAAAGCAACAACCATTAATACATGCAACAAACTGGATGAATATCCAGGGAAGTATGCTGAGTGAAAAATGAAAAAAGTCAATCCAAAAAGGTTACATTCATATGATTTTACTTCTATAAAACCTGATGCCATTGTGTTGATTTTGACAGTGACTTGTAGAACTGCCATGTAGGGTTTCCAAGGCTGTAATCTTTATAGAAGTAGATTGCCACAGCTTTCTCTTGTGGAACAGTTGGTGGGTCTGAACCACCAACCTTTCGGTTAATAGTGAGCACTTAACCAGTGAACCACCAGGGCTCCTTTCTATTTCTACAACATTCTTGAAAGTAGTGGTTGTCACAGATTAGAGAGGAAGTTGTGGTTATAAAAGGCAATACAAAGACATCATTGTGGTGTTTGAACTATTCAGTATCTTGACAGTGGTGGTCAACAAACAAACCCTTCCCCCAGGCCATGGCACATATGTACACATATATAAGTATAAATAATACTGGGGAAATCTGAGTAAAATCAGAGGATTGCATCAATGTCAATATACTAGTTGAGACACTGTTTTGCAAAATTTTACCACTGTAGGAAACTGGGTAAAAGAGCATTTCTATATATTATTTCTTATGAATGCATGAGAATCTACAGTTGCCTCAATAAAATTTTCATTAAAAAAAAAAAAAAAGGCACTTGGATCTTAATTTATGAAGCCTTGGCTTCCACTCTTTGAAGGCTACAGATTTACTAATTGTCATTTATTTATTTACTCAGGATTTTAAGATATATAAAACTTGATATTGCAGAGATTTTTTTCAGGCATGGTAATCACATACTTTGGTATTTCCAGAACAATACTAGTATTTCTTCTATTATGACTCTCAATAGCAGAGACCATTAGAAAGATAAAAGTAAATGTAAAAAAATATAATGTTTTGGTAAGATTTTTTTATGTAAACAAACAAAATTAAACAAAATTCTCTGTCAGCTCATGGGTCCCAATTTTGGGTGGGGGGAGGGAAAGAACACATGTATATGGTGAGTTTAGCTAAGCAATTAGAAAGTCCCCTTCTTTCTTGGGTACTTTCTCTATGTGGCATCAGGCAAGTCTGTATGTGTTTTGTCACTCACTGAGCATGGGGTGGGTCTATGTGTGTGCAAAAGGCACATGAGGCACTGTCTCTACCGGGAAGCAAGTAAACCCTCTGCACCACCACTTGGACCTGGACTCCTGACTCTGCTGTGGTTCCCTGGTTTTCCACCACATCCAAGAGAGAATCACTCATGGAAGTTTGGGCTGGGGAGTGCCGTTTTGCTTCTTCCTGTTCATTCATCAAGTCTGTTTCTATGATGGTCGTATCTCCACATGTAACCTGGCCAAGACATGCAAAGGGAACTGTTTCAGTTTGACTTACAATGGCATAAGTTCTTCAACCAACAGTGACATTCCTGGGTAATCTTTTGCTGTAAAAGCACACACTAAAGGAATGATGAGATAAAAACAAATTCACCTTTGGCATGGTACTCTGTGTTGGGCAGGTCCCTAATACAGTAAAACCTGAGAAAGCCAGAAACAATGCAAGGTGGAAACCTGTCAGTGAAAGAAAACTCAAATGTTTTGCACTAATAGAGAATAGTAGAAAAGTGATAAGACTACATCTTATCAAAAGGCAGAAAACAGCTAGATATGCAGAGACAAGTATTGATTTGGGTGAGGGGAAAGGGAACATACCAAAAGTGAGTAACCAACACAATAACACTAAAAAGGATGACACAGAGAGGTGCACAAGAGGTACAGACAACAAAGATAAACCTTTTACATACACAATACTGCATTATCAGTGATAACAAACATTAATCTACTGGTAAACAGATGGACAGACAGACTGGCTGAATGATCAGGTATGTCTAGACAAAAGAGAATATACCCATAACCATATATTATTTCTACATATGTATTTGTATGGTGCTGTAAGACAGTCCATATATATATAATAGAGCTAACAAGGGGAAAAGTTATGATAACTTCTTAGCCACAGCCAACCACTCTGAGGGAACAAGTAGTTGGGACCTGTGGGCTTGGGACCATGGTCACAGGGGACATCAAGCTCAATTGGCATAACACACTACACAAAATCATTGTTCTACATGCAACTTTGATGAGTAGTAACTGGGGTCTTAAAAGCCTGCAAGTGGCCATCTAGATGCAATAATGGGTCTCTCCTCATCCAGAGCAAAGAAAAATGAGGAAAAGCAAAGACATGTGGAAATAATTAGTCCAAGGGACTAGTAGACCATGCGAATCTCAGCCTATATGATCATGAGACCAGAAGAACTAGATGGTGTTCGGCTACCATCGTCAACTACTCAGAAAGAATCAGTGCAGGAGATCCTGGATAGAGTGGAAAAACAATGTGGAACAAAACTCAAAAACATAAAAAAACCAAGTTTGCTGATCTGATAGAGCCTGGTGCGACCCCTGAGACTATGGTCCCTAGCTGCCCTTCAGGTATGGAATTGAACCTACTCCTGTGGCTTCCAGCCAAACAAAAGACAGGCATAAGAGCTGAACATTTATATTAGGTAGACATACTCCTTAGAACAATCAATCATGGGAGAACAGAGGGTACTATTTGCACAGGGAATAGGTAATTAGCAGGAGGAAGCGGTAAAGAGCTGTTACACTGTGGAGAACTACAGTCAATGCCATGAAACTATGTGTATGAACTGCTGTATAGAAAATGAGTTTGCTCTGTAAACTTTCACCCAAATTAGAATAAAAATTAAAAAAAAAAAAAAAAGGCAGAAAACTTAAGAGACCAGAAAAACAAGGCAGTCCTGTTAAGTTATAGCTCTCACAAATTTCCCTATACTCTTGAGAATAGGGAGGGGAAGGTGACTAAGAGTAATGCAGGGAACTACAGGGTGTTTCCTCCACTGGAATCATAGACTGTCTTGGGTCTATGAAACACATAGAAAGTCATGTTTAGTGGTAGATAGTGGGTAAGCACTTGGCTGCTAACCAAAAAGTTGGTGGTTCACACCCGCCAGCAGTTCCATGAGAGAAAGATGTGGCAGTCTGCTTCGTAAAGATTTACAGCTTTGGAAACTGCATGGGACAGTTCAACTCTGTCCTGTAGTTCGACTCCATGGCAATAGGTAATTACCTCATGATAACTAAAAAATATATGGTAAAAAAAAGAGCTATATTTTAATGTTACAATTAAATTGATTAAAAAGCCTCTTTTTGCATAATGTCCTCCAGATTGGGATAGTCAAAGAGAAGTTTTGCTTGATTACACACATATGAAACAGCCTATCTACTCTTTCTATCTTTGCATTGCTCTCAAACTATTTTCTATCCAGTTTAGCATTAGCGATCTTGATAACTGTGTACAGGGAACCACATAAAATGCTTAAAAATGGTGCTCACACCCTTGATAGTGAATTTCAATGCCTCCCTAAATTCATCCTGGCAGACAATCATGGCTCAGGGTCAATAAAATTCCCAAAAATAATCACCAAAGTACAATTTCAAGCTTATGTAGCTCTTTTTATCCCAAGAGGTATAAATATTGTGGAAAGAAAACCATGACTTTTTTTAAAAAAATAAATAAAAGAAGGCTTACACAAAAATCTTATGACAGTTACAAAATGAGAAGAAACGGAAAACTTTCACATATTTTAATGAGTTCAAAAGATACATAATTAAAAAAGAGGAAATACCATAAAAGACCATAATAAAATGCTGAACTGAATTATAGTTTCTTCAGACATAACAATAATCACAAAATGTTTCAGCACATATATTTGCTGTTTATTTGGAGGTATATTTTTGGTGTATATTTACACCAAAATCCCTTCAAATCTGGTCACTGATGTTATTACAAAGCAGAAAACCTGTGAGCCAGTGGGAGTTTACCTGAATTTCCGGTGTTAGATCTTTAAATCTAAACATTTGGGCCAAACTGATGCTCCTTCTTGGAAGTGGTGTGTCCCGGCAGCGAATTACCCTTGTTGTTTCTGAGTCTTTTTTGGCAATAACTTTCTGACAAAAATAAGTATTCAGAATAACAGGGCAACTTCCATCTGGAATAATAAGTTTTTGCCTGGAAAAAGGGAAGAAGTAGAACAGTTTATTTGTAATGTTGGTGCCCCCACATGTTCTTGCTAAATTAGGAATGCAAAGAGCAGTGACCCACTTTCCCTGAATTAAGTAAATCCAACATCCTTCTGAGTCTTGGATGCCTTTACTCCAAAAGACCCCTCAATGCACTTGATTTTATTTTTCAGGGGAAAATCCCGTGTTAGGGGAGGGAAGCCTGGAGGAAAGGCTGCATAAGTGCTTGGGCTTGTTCTCCCTCAAGTTCTCCTGAGTCTAGCAGACCATGACTTCAGGACAGTTCAGGGAGACAAACAGAGTGAGTAAGGACTATCATCAGGATCTTAGAAGTACCTAGACAGGATACAAATGAAGTAGAAAAGGAACATGGGAAAATTTAGACAAAATTCACTTGGCTTCTTGCAACCAAAAATTCATGGAAATGATTAGTCCTAGACACTGGTACATTATGCAGTCTGCAGCTTGTAAGACTATGAGACCAGAAGAACTAGATGGTGCCTGGCTACCACTGTCAACTACTCGGAGGGGGATCTCTGTAGGAGATCCTGGATAGAGAGGGAGAACAATGTGGAAAAAAACTCCAGATCATTTGGAAAATAAAGGGGGGGGGCAGGTTTGCTCGTCTGATAGAGCCTGGTGGAACCCCTGAGACTATGGCCCTTAGCTGCCCTTCAGGTCTGGAATTGAACCCACACCTGTGGCTTCCAGTCAAACCAAAGACAGGAATATGAGTTGAACATTTACCTGAGGTAGATATACTCCTTGGAAAGAACAATCATGGGAGAAAGAAGGGCTGTTTATGCAAAGGCAGACAGCTCAGGGGGCAGGAGTGCATGGAGGGATGGACACAGGGAAGAGGTAACTATGGGGAGGAAATGGGAGGGGTGCTGTTGCATTGTGGTAAATTGTAGTCAATGTCATGAGACAAAGTGTATGTGAAGTGCTGTATGGAAAGTGAATTTGTTCTGTAAACTTTCACCCAAATCACAATTAAAAAAAAAAAAATTCACTTGGTTTCTCCCATATTTCACATTTGAGAAAACTTAATCTAGTGTTCATTCCTCGAGACAGGTAGAGCTGCTTACTGTGAAAAGAAAATTTTTGTTAGGACTTCTGCTTCCAGGAAGATGGAGTAGATACACTTTCCCCTATTACTACTGCTAAGTAAAACTAAAAACCCTGGGCATTACATATAAAATAAATATATGAAGATACTAAACATTGAGAAAAGTAGGCAGTCTGTCTAGGGACCTTGGGACTTAAAAACAACCCAGTGGTGAGTTCCCTGGGATTTTTGTTTTATATGTCCCAGATTTTGAGCTGAATAACTTGGCAACCCTGAAACACCAAGGGGAGTAGACAAAAACAAAACAAAACAAAAAATAATGAAAACATGCTCTCTTCAATAAAAGGAACAGTAGAGGGGCAGCCTAGTGAGACATACATCTTTTAAACATTAACTGCTCTATTCCAATCAAACACCAAAACAAAACAAAAGACTAAAACTGTGGCCCAATACCTTCCAAGCAAAAGCTGAGTGGGGAGCCTTGACACCCACCCTTACCAAGCTATAATGAGAAGTCCCAACACTCCCAGTGCAGTGGTTTCATAGAAGGAGAATAGGGAGTCAGGATTTTCATCCCCATAGGCTTGTAATGAGACCTCTTCCCCTCGTCAGTGTCAGTGGAGACCACATGGAGTGGGAACCACCTGGATTTCTACTCACATGAAGCAATATTAATCAAGCAACATTCCCCTTGCCCTCTGGCATAATACAGAGGAGAACTATGGAGAATGGGGACTTTCATTACTGCCCAGTGGCAATGAGGCCACCCACTATCAGTAATGAGGTGTACCTCACCATCCCACTAAAGGTAATATGACTGAAGACCCCATGCACAGCTGGAACTGCCACCTCTGTCTAGTAGTAATGAGAAGTCCCTTCCCCTGTTGGTGTCAAGAAACTCATAGAGGGGAATCTGAATTCCTATCTTCACCTGGTAGTAATGTGGTAGAGTCCCCATCCATGCCAGAGCAGTGTCAGATAAGATCATCTATAAAATGTTTTAATAAAATCCAATCTTATAATATTACGCAAAATGTCCAAGTTTCAATCTGAAAGTAACTTATTATACTAAGAATTAGGAAAAAAAACAATCTCAATTTAAATTAAAAAAGGCAAACAAAAACACCAATGCTATGATACAGATGTTGAAATTATGTGTCAAAAATTTTAAAGCAGCCATTATAAAAATTCTTCAGAGAGTAATTAAAGGGACTTCCAGCAAGATGGCAGAATAGGAAGACAAGCTACACAAATGCTCTACAACAAATAAATGAGAAACAAATTAAAAAAGATACAGAGGATAATCTTGAACCCTGACCTTCCAAGAGAAGGATAAAGAAGTGGATTAAATACCAATGAGTAGAGGAAACTGAGTGAAAACAGCAAATAAGGAGACAAATGGAGGTATGGATTGCTGACTGGCCTCATGGCTTGGCCATTATACATATCTGCAGTGGCATTCCAATCCAGGTAGCAATCTGATAATTGGCTCCAGCTGCCAAGGACTGCATAAGCAACTACACTGGTAGCTGACTAACACAAAGGTACGATATTCTCCTTGTTCCCCTTATACCCCAACACCTTCCTGGGGAATATAGGTGTGGCCATTCTACTCCCATCCACCTCTGGAGTGGCAAGAATTCCATCCCAGACTGGGTATCCTGTCATCAGTTGCCTTCTGGTCAGGCAGGAGCTGGTCCTGGGATGAGGTAGACAATCCCCAGCCGCCCTTTGTGACATATGTTAGGCTAGGTTCTCTAGAAAAGCAAAAGCAGTAAAGCTTATACATACATAGAGAGAAAGAGAGATTTATCTTAGGGAAATGGCTCACACACTTATAGAAGGTGGGAAATCCCAAGTTCTTGGATCAAATGTCAAGGTAGAGGCTTTTCCTGACTCATGGAGCTGCAAGGGCTGACGAGCTCAAGGTTGGCAGGCAGTATACTGGCTGTTGACTCCAATGAATGATGAATCCAAGATCTCCAGGCCAAATGGTGGACTGTTTGCTCATGGACAGTGGTAGGCAGCACTACAGGATCCCAATCCACACAAGAATGTTTCTTTTCCCAGGATGTCCATAAATATATTGGAAGCAGGCCACACCCTTAGGGAAACTCCCTTTAAATGGATTGGCTGCTTAAAACATATACATCTGATCCCCATCATGGGAATAACCCACATTATTATTGCTTAAACCACCGAGAATTGTGGTCCAGCTAAGTTGAGACACAGCTCCAACTATTACAGGCCAGTAGGAACTTTTTCTAAGAAAAGGTCTCTTACACATAGTTGCATTTTGGGATGGCAGGGACTTTATGGGAATGGGGTGCTGTGCCCAGATGTCTTTTGAGACAGTAGGAACTTTCTCTGGGACCAGACCCCCTGCCCACAGCTGCTATTTTGGGGCAGCAGGAGGTAGGTGCCTCGCTCCTAGTCACCTTCTGAGCCAGCAGAAACTTTTTCTGGGACAAGGTACCCTGTCCTCGGATACTTACTGGACCAACAGGAACTCATCTGGGATTAGGCCCCCTGTCCTCTGTTGTAGATAGGATCTACTTCTGATATCAACTGCCCCACTCTGGGCTGGCAGGAACATTTTCTGGAACCAGGCACCCTGCCCCTAGACATCTTCTGAGTTAGCAAGAACTCATCTGGGATCAGGTACCCTGCTCCCTGCTTGTCTGGCAGGAACATCACCCATGTGCCCTGTCCTCCTGCCCTACTCCCTGCTCCAATTTCTTTTTCTTTTTTGAAATTATTCTATTTTACTTCCTTTATTATCCTATTTTTTATTTTTTCCTTTCTTTCCCTTCCCAGTTTTGTTTTTTGTTTTTTCTGGTTTTCTTATTTTTACTTTCTTTTCTTCACTTTCTCCATCCCTGTTCCTCTTTCTGCATTTATCTTATCTCTTCTTTACTATCTTTCTTTCTTTTGCTTCTTTTCTTTTGTCCTCTATCCTCAGATTTGTTTATTCTTTTACTTTTTGTTCTTTTGTCTTTTTTTTTCTCTTTTTCTTTTCATTTATTTATTTTATTTCTTTTCATGGTTATTGCTTGTTTATCTTGTTTGTGTTTTTGTTCTCTTGTTTTTATTTTTGGCAGTGGTATTTTTTTCATTCCATATGGTGGGAGACAACAATCATGCCCACATGACCCAACAACATCTACATGTCCTGCAGCCCCATCCATTGTGTGAGGGCCACCACTTGCTTCTGCATCAAACTGATCAGTGATATGCAGCAGCCAGTACCAGCCCAACTCTTCCTAAACTGCTCTATACAAAGAGATAACAGAAATCTGTGCAGATCTCTGTGTAACAGGGATCATATTTTCATCCTCTATCACATAAAAACAGGAGACAGGTAGTGAGTGCCCAAGTGCTGCCAAACTAGTGAACAGAATAGCACATAACACCCATTTGCTTGTATGTATCAAAACAAAATAAAGCAAGCAAACAGTTCAAAAAAAAAAAAAAAAACCTGGGTGAATCACACCAACATACAATCACCAATTATATATATATAAGTCTAAAGACATCACAATATCATGGAGACAACTAATGATCCTAGTTCACACAAAGAAAGCAAGATAAAGTAGTACAGAAAAGGGGTCAGAATATACAGTCAGAAAACCTCCCTGAGGAAGAACTACCTGAAAAGGAATTCAAAAGAATTATATGTAGGTGCCTTCAAAAGACTGATAGAGCAAGGAAAACACTGACAAAATCAAAGAATTCACCAATAAAATTAAGGAAAACACAGACAAACTCTACAACAATTTAGGAAAACAATACAAGAACAAACTGACAAAATAAATGAAAAATTAGAAACCATAGAAAAACAGAAAATAGAAATGAAGAAGATTAATACTAAGATTTCAGATTTCTGAAACACAGTCAACGGGAAAAGGAATAGAATCGAA